TTTAGTCTTTTGATCAATTTTTACTGATTTGGGAGAGTATGGGTGAAGAATCCAAACTTCAAATTCACAGTGAAGAGGAAGTTCAAGAAAGTGAGTAAAATAATGGATCAGTTGTATGTTGTATGCTCCAATCGACTGGTTTAAAACATGAAGAAGGAGAAAGGAGACGAAGAGGGGAGCCAGTACCGTAGAGGTTAGTTCTGCCTGCTGAAAATTTTCCGGCGAAATGCCATGGTTTCCGGCTTTTGGTATGAGGTGAGGGAGAGAAGATGAGAGAGAAAGGGTGGAGAGGTGAGGAATGGGGGTCATTTATGTTAGGATTTTAATTTTGTGGGGTCGATGACATGGCAGCTGACATGGACAAAATATTAGAGGGGTCAGCTGCCACAGTAGATCTTGAAGTCTAATTTTCAAGAAATAAAATGGTTCGTAATTTTGACGTCCCTACGCCAAGATATGAATTTTTTGGTGAGACTGCGCAAATCTGGAATTGATAGTGTGGTGCAATATAAAGTTAATTTCAAAATACTATCTGGGACGATTCTGAAGTTGTTTGATTGAGAATTTTGGATATGTTTTAGGTGTTGAAATCTAGTTTTTTTGAATTTAAACGGTTTGCAATTTCGATATTTCTAGACCGAGATATGAATTTTTCTGGTAAGACTGCACAAATCTGGAATTGATAGCGTGGTGCAATATAAAGTTGATTTTAAAATATTATCTGGGACGTTCTGAAGTTGTATGACTAAGAATTTTGGATATGTTCAAGATTTTGAAGTCTAGTTTTCAAGAAATTAAACGGTTTGCAATTTCGATATTTTTACACCAAGATATGATTTTTTTTGTGAGACTGCGCAAATCTAAAATTTTTAACGTGGTGAAATCTAAAGGTGGTTTCAAAATATTATCCGGGGCAATTCTGAAGATGTTTGATTCTAAGTTTTGGATATATTTTAGATATTGAAGTCTAATTTTTGAGAAATCAAACGGTTCATTAATTGGACTCTCCCACGACAAGATATGAATCTTTTATTACAAGCGCGTAAAGCTGAAAATTATGCGACTAAGATCAAAGTCGGACAATGTAAAGTAAAAGAGAAGCTAAAATATTTAAGCCCTCCAAGTCTCAAAGTTGAATAGCCTGTTTGGCCAAGCTTCTTTTTGGCCAAAAGTGCTTTTTCTTTTTTTCCAAAAGCACTTTTGGCCAAAAATTGAGGTGTTTGGCCAAGCTTTTGGAAGGAAAAAAAGTGTTTTTAAGGAGAAGCAGAAGCAGTTTTGGAGAAGCAGAAAAAAATAGCTTCTTTCCAAAAGCACTTTTTTGAGAAGCACTTTTGAGAAAAATACACTTAGAAGCAGTTTTTTAAAGCTTGGTCAAACACTAATTGCTGCTCAGAAGTGCTTTTCAAATTAATTACCCAAACACAAGCTGCTTCTCACCAAAAGTACTTTTGAGAAAAGCACTTTTGAAAAAAAATACTTCTCAAAATAAGCTGATTTTTGCAGCTTGGCCAAACGGGCTAGAAGTCTTCAAGTTCGTCGATCTTCAAGTTTCAGTCTTCAAATTCGCCGGTCTTAAAGTTGAAATATTTAAGCCCTCCAAGTTGAAGTCTTCAAGTCCTTCAGTCTTCAAGTTTCAGTCTTCAAATTCGCCGATCTTAAAGTTGAATTGTTCAAGCCCTCCGAATCTTCGAGTTGAAGTCTGCAAAGTCCGCCAAATCTTCAAAGTTTTCCAAGTGTTCAAGTCGATGTCATCTTCGAGTTGAAGCTTTATAACTTTCCAATCTTAAGGTGGACATATAAGTCCCTTTGCACCTTAAGTTGGCCTCTTTGCGAGTTTGTCCTTAAAAGGAACTATAACTTTCCGATCTTTAGGTGGACATATGAGTCCCTTTGCACCTTAAGTTAGCCTCGCCAATAGTCGAGCCACATTGAGAGTAATCTCTCCGGTAGTCGGGCCATTTTGAGAGTAATCTCTCCGGTAGTCGGGCCACATTGAGAGTAATCTCTCTGATAGTCAGGCCATGAGAGTAATCTCTCCGATATTCGGGCAAGGATGAGTACTCATCCCCTCACACCCCAAGATTGTCTTCTTCATGCATGGATCATCTGGTTGAACAAGAACATATCTTTCTTGCTTGACCTACAAAAAAATGACAAATGAAGAAAAACACAAGAAAAGAAGAAGAAATTACCTTCGCGTCAATGCTTCCAAGTCATTAAAAGTAGACTCAGGTGGCTTGCAAATTGATGCTCACAAGTTGGAGAGTACGCATCCTTTATATAGATTTCTCAAAGCAGTATTTGGGAATAAAGTCCCGATGTGGGACATAGTTACTGCTCCTAGTTGGAAGTGGTTACTGTAAGACGAACTACGAGAATGTGTTAGAAAAGGATTCGGATGTGTATAATCCTTTCGTAAAGGCGGCGATGATTGCAATGAATCATGTTGCAAATAGGAGACACCGTAATTAACCAAATCATGTTGCAAATAGGATTACTTACATGTGGGACATGTAAATAGCTCCTGAAATTACGTATATCCTTTTCGAATTGGATTGTTTTGCCTAATCATTACATTAAAGGGATCTTCTAATTTGGCAAATGAGTTGCAATCTTTGGCACTGATAGATTCAAGTACCAAAGTTTATTAACTACGTGTCTTAGCCTTATTTAACTATTTAAGAAAAATTGCTATTAAAAGTCTTGAAGACAAATCCAAGTAGCTGAAAGGAATTATGCACTACAAATGAAGTGCATGGATACTTTTTCAGAAGTTCTAATTTGACCCGAGGAAAAAAAAGATATATTAACTTGAGTTTGATTTCATACTTCACTTATACTTCAAGCCTAGTGTTGAGGTTTGTCAAGTTTATTTATACTTCAAACAAGTCTCGAAGTAGGGGCATTTGTAGACAATTAAAATTTTATTGAATTTAAATCCATATGAAATTTTGGCTTCAATTAAATATATTTTGGTCCAAATAAATACTATGGGCTAATATGATTAGATTAATTATAGTAGTCCAATATATATGGATTAAATAAATAAGTCTTAATTCATTGTGCTAGTCCATTTAATTGGGCTACAAATGATGAGCCCATCTCATCAGACCCAAGATGTCATCTTCCTAGAGGCCCAGTGCCACGTGTCAAATGACGTGTCGCGCCAAGTCAAGCAGAAGAGCCAATAGGACCATGCCACGTATCAAAATGACAAGGCATGCCCAGTCACACTGAAAGGCCAATTAAATCGCGCCACGTGTGCAAGTGACATGTTCTGGCCAATCAAATGCGGCCATGTCACACTTCAATTTGATTGGTCGGAAAGAGTTTGTTCTTATCATAACTCTTCCCTCCCACGACTATAAATAAGGGTCTTCATAACTCAGAAAAGACACCATAAGTTATAACAAGAAGCAAGAGAGAGCTCGTGGATCAAACGCCGCAAATTTCTCTACAAGTTTCAAGCTTCAAGCAATCAAATTCAAGCTCAAGAACGAAGAACAAATCAAGTTCAAGCTCAAGAACGAAGAACAAATCAAGTTCAAGCTCAAGAACGAAGAACAAATCAAGGTCAAGTCCAAGCAATCAAGCTCAAGCTCAAAAACAAGATCATCGTTCGTGGCAACAACTACATATTCAAGATCAAGCTCCAAGGCCCTTGAATTTATTTAGTATTGGAAAGAAGAATGAGAGGATTAATAGAGATTGTACACTTATATTATTTGAAATCAAATACTACGATTGTTGCGATATTTTCGGTCCTGATTTTATTTTCTCGATGCAAATTTATTGTCTACAGAAGGTATAGAGGTTGAGGATTAGTGTAGTAGAATAGATAGTCTAGAGTGTTCATAACAATAGTATTGGCACGCAGTGTCGCTTTCTGTGGGCAGTAGGTTTTTATGACTAACTGTTGTTTTCTTTCATTGTTGATTACCTTATTATCTTGTTGTTTTTATTCAGCTTTTATATGGCTTTTTAGTACTATCCCTTCTTGTCTATATTTTCATTAATGTGGTGCTTATGCTTTCCTGAGCCGAGGGTCTATTGAAAACAACCTCACTATCCACACAAGGCAGGAGTAAGGTGTGCGTACACACTATCCTCCTCAGGCCCCACGGTGTGGGATAAGACTGGCTATGTTGTTGTTGTTGTTCCTAATAATAATTTTGATATTAACAACAAAAACTCAAAAAAATGTTTACACAATTGAGAATGAAAGAAAATAAAGGATTTATAATATATATTTCATGCACGTAATATAAAAATAATTATTTAAAATAAAGTTACTTTTATAATATGCATTATATATTCTTGAAAATTATGCTCAATTCTATTATTATTCCGACATTATATATGCTAGAAAACTCATGTTATTTTTTACTTTTATTTTGTAGACAAAATTTATTTATTCTATAGGTAAGTTCATAAGATCAAATACCAATTTTAGAGGGTAAAATAGGTATTTGACAATTAAAACTTTGAGAAATCTGGTTGAGTGAGCTTTTGAGTGCTATAGATATATAGCCTGTTTGGTCAAGCTTCTCCAATCCTAGAACCACTTTTTTTTAAAAGCTGAACTGTTTGGCCAAACTTTTGGAAGAAAAAAAAAGTGTTTTTGAGGAGAAGCGGAAGCATTTTTGGAGAAGCAGAAAAAATAACTTCTCTCCAAAAGCACTTCTGAGAAAAATACACTTAGAAGCAGCTTTTAAAAACTTGGTCAAACACTAATTGATGCTCAGAAGTACTTTTCAAATTAATTAGCCAAACATAAATTACTTCGCACCAAAAGTACTTTTGAGAAAAGCATTTTTGAGAAAAAAAAACTTTTCAAAATAAGCTAATTTTTGCAGTTTGGCAAACAGACTAATAGTTAAGTGACTTTTCTGTTACAAACGAAAGAAAGATGACTTTACTTGATAATTCCAGATAGTTGAATGACCATTTAAGCAATGGACTCTTTTTTACTGGCATATAAAATCTCTAAGAAAATAATATTAATATTAAAGGGGAAAATTTGCCATACATCTGAAATAATAAGCCACTAAATAATACAATAGAGAGTACACTCAAATCTGACTAAATTCAATAGGTTTGCCAGAGTCACCAAAACAATTCTCCAGGCAAGCACAAAATGGGCCATAACAAAGACTCGCAGCTTCTGAGTTGCTAACACAAATTCTTAAAGCTTACTACAAACAGCTATATAACTCAGCAAAAGTTTTAACAATCAGAAATTTTTTCATAGAATAGTAAGGTTGCCTCAGCATCTAGAACATCTTTCTCAGAAACACTATGCACGTCGGTATCTGAGATGCAAAACCACTGATCAACAATAGATCCCAGTAGTCCTGCAGGATCGTCTTCGCTTATTTTTGCTGTTGCTCGTCTGTAAACGGTGTAATGCCCGCTACCAACTCTTCCAAAGTGCTGCACAACAGAGGCTAGTCGATACTTATGATGTTTGGAAAGTGTTATTGAGGAAGCTTCACCCTGCAACACAAAAGATAAAGAGGAACAACTAAGCTAGATAAACATGAAACTAAGATTGCTGGGAGGTTTTTATGTACATATTTGTTAATCATGAAGCTGAAATCTTGATAGCAAATAGAAATGTATCGAAAGCTCATTTAAGGGTAGAGAATTAAATGCACAATGATTGACCTTGTAATAACTGTACAAACACAAAATGTTGAATAAACTGTAGATGTTAAAAGGCTCCAACGTTAGTCTCCATCTGTTCCCATGAGGTTAGTACTATAAGCAGACATCATGGTATTCTGGTTGATCCTTACAGTGTGACTATGTTAGGTTCAACAAGGGTTAGGGAACTATGGGAGTGGACAAGAGCAAATGAACACGGAACAGAGCAATAGAGCGTAACATGGAAAACAATGTGCCCCCTACTTCTAAATTAGTCACCATCTGTTCCCTAAGAAGTTAATACTGTAATTAGACATAGTACAATTTGGTTTGTTCCTTAAAATGTGACTCTTAGGTCCAAACGAAGTAAAGAAATACCAAGGGTCCAGGAATAAGTGATCAATTACAGTCTATTGGTTTCCTTTTAAATAGCTTTTTATGCCTAATTGTGAATCAAGAGATTCACAACCTTTTTGTCCTTGACAAGGATGTTCTCTACTCTAAACATCTTTTTGGCGATACGCCTCAATCTCTAGCAAGTTGGGGTTAGCTATTTGAATCCTCACTGTTCATGTCGCTCTATTAAAGTTTTCTTCATATATTTCTCCATTAGATCCTCAAATATCACAAGGTTTGAATGGAGCGACATAGATAGTGAGGATTCAAATAGCCAACCCCAACTTGCTAGGGATTGAGGCGTAGTTGTGTATTCCCCAGACTATCACAAGATTGGAGTATAAACGCATGCTTAATTAGCAACAAGCCTCCCATCTTGAGTTGAGATTTTCTGGACGGCAAGCATGAGATATGAGTACTTTACTCAGGAAAAGTACTACTTGAAAGTTTCCCTCCAGAGATTCCACTACAAACTTATAGCTAGACAGCGCAAATTCATTTCGAGAGTAGGTGGTCATGTACATACCATGTTGCCCAATCACTGAGATTATCTACTTAAGGCAAGCAACCAACCAACCTGATTGCCAGAATGTGGAGGCAGCTGATTTAAGCTCGTCTCCTTGTAGCTTCCTGTATCGAGCAAAGTTGATATTGACTTTGGTGCGTTAACACCACAATTATTTGAGACACACAAAGCAGCCGTATCTTCTACTTCTGTAGAAAACGTTCTTTCACTTTGGGTGATGCAATTTAACATCTCGTTATTATCTTGCAGATTTAAGTAATTAAACAAAGGGAAAGACTGCTGCTGATGCTTTATTTTTCCTATTTGCAGATTCCCTTCGCGATTCTTTGTCCCCACTTCATTCTTCACAAAAGGAGCCAAGTCCAAAATCAATGGAAACGAAATATGGCCCTGAACACAAAATTCAAACAGTGAAAGTTAAAACACAGCAAAATGCACCAAAGCATAGAATAAGATGCAAAATATCAAACAACTCCATATTAGGTTGTCCCTTGGGTTTAGAGATGAACTTATGGGCGAAAATGGAAATTACATAGTAATTGAAGTCAAGGCAGGTCTCCAAGGCTACAGTCAACATTTAGTAGCCAAAAGCTGTAACTCTGACAAGCCTGAAGTTGGTCTTACGCAACTAGTAAGCTGATTTAGCACTCAAACAAAAGGAAAGGAATAGTCTTCTATAAAGATGGACATAACTTGCGACAGCAAAAAGTAGAAAAGGGTGTCCTCTCTTTCTAGTGGAGGACCTATATTAATGAAAACTGTGCAATATGGTACAGAAAATGCATCTGTGATAACATCCCTTTTTTTGAATAGGCAACTATCGTAACTGGGACGACCCGGCCAGTCGTCTCATGAGTTACCGCTCCGTTTTCCCCATTTCTGCTTCTTATTGCTTTGTTTATCGGTTCTATGAGTGATCGGGTTGGTTGGCTCGGGTTCAGAAAGGATTTGGTAAGGTTTGAAACACTTAGTCTCTTTAGAGGAAGCTTAAGTTGGAAAAGTCAACCGGGTGTTGACTTATGTATTAGAGTGCTCGAATGTGAATTTCGATGGTTCAGATAGCTTCAGGAGATGATTTGGGACTTAGGAGCGTGATCGGAATGTATTTTGGAGGTCCGGAGTAGATTTAGGCTTGAATTGGCGAAGCCGGTTTTTTGGCGTTTTCCGGTTGATAGGTGAGATTTTGATATAGGGGTTGGAATGGAATTCCGAGAGTTGCAGTAGTTCCGTGGTGTCATTTGGGATGTGTGTGCAAAATTTCAGGTCATTCGGACGTGGTTTGGTTGGGTTTTGATCAAAAGCGCAATTCGGAAGATTTTTGGAAACTTAGGCTGGAATCCGATGTGTTTTGGTCGATTCGATGTTGTTTGAGGTGTTTTGAAGATTGGTATGAGTTTGAATAAGGTTACGTATGGGGTATGTTTGTGTTTTTGGGTGAGGTCCCAGGGGCCTCGGAGTGATTTCGGATGGTTGACGGAGAAGTTTGGAATTTTGGTGAAGCAGTAGATTTTCTGCTTTCTATTGTTTCCTCACCTGCGGATTGGGGACAGCAGGTGCGATGCCGCAGATGCGAGGAAGAAGGCCGCAGAAGCGGAAAGTGGTTGGAAAGGCTGTGACTGCAGAAGCGGTTGGGTAACCGCACCTGCGATGGCGCAGGTGCGGAGTTAACATCGCAGTTGCGGAAAAATGAGGACTTAAGTGAGGACCGCAGATGCGGTACCGCAGAAGCGNTACTTTAAATGATATTTTGGGCTGAGCACTATGTTTACTGTTGCCCGAGTGGCTGTGAGATTCTAACTGAGCAAGACCGAGGGCTTATGTTGTGAGGAAACACTGATTATGATTATGAGGCCGAGGGCCTGAGATTTATACGCCACAAGATGGCTTGTTGATATGAGGCCGAGGGCCTAGTGATGATGCCACGAGATGGCTTGATATTGCGCTTGAGTCGTAGGGGCCCATCCAGGAGTTTCCACACCCCCAGTGAGCGCGGGTACCCATTGTGATGTAAGAGATAGCCCGAGGGGTTGGTGTTGTTCTATGATCTTGCCCGAGGGGCAATCCTTTATGTGTTTATCTTTCTTATTGCCTGTCATTTATCTGCTTAATTGTTAAAAAGGAATTTCATGAAGTTTAAACTAAACTAAATGACTTTACATATCTTCACTGATTTACTGTTTCTACTGGTTTTACTGCTTCATTATAGCCTGTAATGTGTCTTACGTGTTTTCATGTCTCTCAGTCGTTTATTTATGATTATTACTCACTGAGTTGGAGTACTCACTTTACTCCCTGCACCCCGTGTGCAGATTCAGGCGTATTTGATCCTGCTAGCGCGAGTTGAGAGCTCCCGGCAGCCTTCGGAGTCCACGAGGTAGCTGCTTGGCGTCCGCAGTCCTGTGTTTCTCCCCCTTTTATCTCATTTCTATCTCTTTATTAGTTATTATGGAATGGACTAGCATTCCAGACTTGTAGCGTACTGATAGATGCTCATGACTAGTGACACCCCGGTATCGGGCTGTGTTGGGTTGTATTCCGCAAATTGTTTTGTATTGTCACTGCTTACTTTTGGATTTATATCACGTTTAAGACTAAATGCTTATTGTTTAATTGCTTAAACCTGAATCGGAAATGTGTCGGCTGGCCTTGTCTTCACGAGAGGCGCCATCACGACCGGGTCCGGGTTTAGGGTCGTGACAATAACACTTCTCACTAGAAACATCTCTGATCAAAGCAAATTCTTTAGAAGGTAACAGAGTCATGCTCCTAAGAAAAAATGCAAATCTAAAAGAACACAGCTAAGGTTAGTTAACATGTACAGCTGTGAGCTCAACTTGAAACTCAAGGGAAAAAGTGGAGAAGATAGCATCACTTGGTGAACCCAATGGGCAGGGCGAATATGGCCAGTCAGCAAAAATTGAAACTTAAAAGATTCTTGAACAGAGAAAGAGCAAGACTTTTAAACTAAAGGTGGTCTGTTTTCAAGGAGGATCACTGTTCTCACTGCCGGAAGGCGGAAAGAAGAAGGTGTTATGTGAGAAACATATTGCAAGAAATAGGAAAAGTTTCCGATGGCTTGAGAGACATGAGGTGCCAGAGCAAACCGTTATGGTGATTTGAGCAACTAATAACAGGTGAATGCCGGCGTGGGGAAGCATGTGGATGAAATTAAATTACATGGATACTTGGTGAAAAGATGTTGTTTCATAATAAACATAATCCCCCTCAACTAGAAATGGCGTGATGACAATTACAGGACATGCCCCCCAATCTCTAAGATCCATCACTGAACCAGATATTTAATAAGTTTGAGATTTTTACGAGCTGATAACCTAGATGAAACAGCGATTTCTCATGAGACTAAGCCGACTTGAAAGAAAAGGCATCTCCAGGGACAAGAATCAGGAAATAGGAATTGTAAGAACAACCCAAAAAAATCAAGAACGGAACCAAAAGTGGCAGAGTTGAATCAAGACTAAGAGTTGATTGAAGTAAAAAGGGGGAAGTACATGATGCAAGCAAGCTGCGAATCAATCCAGGTATATGCCACATTCTAAAATCGGGTAAGCTTTCTCTTCTAGTCTTGGATAGAACAGAGTAGGCCACAGCACATTCTTGTCTTCTTGCTAAAGCATTAGTTATTAAGGGAAAATAAGGAAGGGAATTGACAAAAGAGAATGACAGACGAATATTTATGGAGACATGATGCATAAACCAATTTAAATATAAATTGAATATAAATTGATTTTAGACTACTATACATATGAGGATTCCTATGATTCCAATTAGACAGTGGAAATGCAGAAAGCTGGAGTAGCAGAAACTTCAGGACTTGAAAAGTTCATAGGTATCTCAGGAGATCTGATGAGGACAGGCAGGGAATCAGTGATGCAATAACAACAACAATAAACCCAGTGTAATCCCACAAGTGAGGTCTGGGGAGGGTAGTGTGTACGTAGATCTTACTCCCACCTTGGGAAGGTAGAGAGGTTGTTTCCGATAGACCCTCGACTCAAAGAAAGATAAAAAAGCAGTAGCACCATAAACACCAGCAAGATAACAAGAAAACCGAATCGAAAGAGACAGCAAGCAGTGGGAGAAATCTAAAAAATAAGAAAGCACATACTAACACTAATACAACTAGTATGGACAGAAAAACGCACGACTACCTACTAACCCTCCACCCTAATACTCGATCTTCACACCCAGAAAATAGGTGGCTGCATAATTGAACCTAAAAGAGTGTCAAACAAAAAAGAGGGGAAGTAATCAACAAGAACAAGAATTAAAAAGGTTGAAGTGCAATATCAACTATGATAGAAATAGGTGAATGGAAAATCTAAAACAGTGGATAAAATTGTAGTTTGAGACCATCATCTATGGTCGAGTACACTATGCTGCCTACCAGAACCTTCTCTGTGGATGTTCCTTATTTTTCCTCTTTTATTTGATAAAAGGTACAATTTTACCTCATTTGGGGTGTTCTTGTTCTAATAAAATTTATTTACTTATCAAAAGAATAAAACCCTTATGCAGAAATATCGGTACCTGAAGTTTGACCAGTTCTCCAAATACATTTATAGAAGCACGTTGTAAATGAAGACATAGAACCTGCAAGGTGGCACAACTGTAAGCAGATGCAAGAAGTCAAAAAATGGCAATACAGACGAAACCATTAAATGACAAAGAGCTGAAGCACCAAGTCTTAAAATTAAAGCATATTTGGATATCGAGAAGCATGTTATTCCTTGCCCGCCCCTTATTTTCCTCCCTTTTGATTTTGTTGACAGCTATGTGGTCAATCCTTTCAACGAAGTAAATAACCTGTTTTTAGCACCTTCAATTCTTACTTGAAGAAAATGGACTAACAAGCATACCTTAGGACTCCGGCCAATACTGAGTTGCTTGAAAGTGCATGAGAAGCTATTGGACCATGGTAATCTTGCAAGGCATGGTAGCTCTTTGCAATCACAGGAATCTTCCTCATTGCACAGCTTAAGTTTTTCAACAATAGCCTAAGAACAAATTGCTTCTAGTTATCAGCTACTAGAAAAGGACCACAATTTGTTAAACAACAAAAACCTCAGAGGGAAATCAGTGACCAAATTCCAGCCAAATGGAGGAATATTATAGAAATGTTGCCTAGGCTGTATAAGCTCGTTTGAACCTATAGACTATAGCCACAAACTTCAAGGTTAAGATAGTATGCTAAACTAAGATCTCTTAACCAAGATTACCTCATTTTCATCCATGGCAGAGACAAACTTTACGGCAGCAATATGCCAACAGTGGCTGCACTTATAGTTTTCGAGTTGTTCTGCAACAAAGAACTGCTTCAGGCAATGCTCCACGGAACACCCAGGCATCTAACATTTTATTTGCAGAAGAAATCACCATTAATATGGAATCAAGTAAGGCACATAAATAATTAGATACAAGACAATAGAGTTTTTTAACGTACAGTGGCCCCAACAATGCTTAACACTGGCACAAGATGCAAGCTATGGAACAACTGAAAATCCAAAGAGATCTGAAGAGAAACAACAAAATATGAATAAATCAATTCATGAATGAAGATCCAGAAGATAAAGCGCAAACCCAAACTAAACAGAGCATATTAATGAATACAAAATATCACTTATTTACAGCTTACTTTACAAAGTAAAAGGTCCAACCTTGAAACTCACGTGTAGTCTTTTTTTTTTACCCCTATTAGCAGAAACGTAAAAGAAAGAACACAAGATTTAACGTGGTTCGGATCAAAATAATCCT